AGCCGGTCCTTTACCGGCTATCTCCCAGCGATCGGTGGCAATCGCTGACAGAGAGCACAGCTGCAGTAGCTGTGCTTTCTGTCACTTCCCTGACAGCTCAAGGACAAGCTGATCGGGACAGAAGAGTTTCTCCTCGATCAGCCTGTCCCCATCCAGCACACACCCCCGCCCCCTATTAAAACACTCCCCCTCACACAGATAACCCTTCCCTGAAAATTAAAGTTAACCCCTTCCTCCCCAGTGCCATTAGTACAGTGTCAGTGTTTTTTTTTTTGCACTGATCACTGTATTAGTGTCACTGGGGATGTCAGTGACCCCAAGTCAGTACCCCGCCAATGTCAGAATGTCCACTGCAGTCCCGCAGTCCCGCCATAAAGTCGCTGATCGCCGCCATAAGTCACTGATCGCCGCCATAAGTCGCTGATCGCCGCCATTATTAGTATAAAAAAAACCTAAAAAATCCCAGTATCTTTCCCGCGATTTGTAAACGCTATAACTTTCATGTAAACCAATTAATTTACACGTATTGGGGTTTTTTTTTAGCAAAGACATGTCGCAGAATGCATTTTGGCAGAAAATTTATGACTAAATTTGATTTTTACATTTTTTTTTTACTGGACAATGTTTTATAGCAAAAAGTCCAAAATATTGTTTTTTTTCCTCAAAATTGTCAGCCTTTTTTTTATAGCGCAAAAAATAAAAACCGCACAGGCGATCAAATACCACCAAAAGAAAGCTCAATTTGTGTGGGGAAAAAAAAGGATGTAAATTTCATTTATGTACCGTATTGCATGACCGCGCAATTGTCCGTTAAACTAGCGCAGCGCTGTATAGCAAAAAAATGGCGTAAATTGCAGTATCTATACCATAGTTTGTAGACGCTATAACTTTCACACAAAGCAATCAATATACACTTATTGGGATTTTGTTTACCAAAAACATGTAGCAGAATACATTTTGGTCTAAATTTATAACCAATTTTGAGTTTACTATATATTTTTTTATAGCTGAAAGTAAAAAATATTGTTTTTTTTCAAAATTTTTGCCCTTTTTTTTGTTTATAGAATGAAAAATAAAAAGGGCACAGGTGATCAAATACCACTGAAAGAAATCTCTATTTGTGTGAAAAAAAGGACGTAAATTTCTTGTGGGTGCAGCATTGCATGACCGCGCAATTATCAGTTGAATTAGTGCAGCACCGAGTAGCAAAAAGAGGCCTGGTCATTAAGAGGGGTAAATCCTCTGGAGGTCAAGTGGTTAATTTCCTATCCCATAGCGAAAGAGAAAGTGAGAGGAAATCTGCAAATTAAGGGAATTCACGGGGGCCCCCCCAGGTCACCAGAACGAGTGTCCCCTTTGGAAGATTTCCCCTTTATTACCTTTCTAGGGACAACCCAAAATGTGGGATTTTCCATTTACTTTCACTTTCGATGATAATGGTAAACAGGACAAATAAAGAGGGTGAATCTCCATATTGGGGGCACAGACAGTAATAAATGACAATGAAATAAAATGACAGGCATTCTAATCCAGCTCAACCCCATCCAACACTAAAAAAACATTTTTACCTTTAATTATACTTTAAGTCATACAAACTTTTTTCATTTACCTATTAGTAATGGCATAAATAGTTTGTAAATGAAAAAAAAAAACACTCACTCAGAGATCAGAACTCCCAGAATGATCAGCAGAGCACCGGTGTCTACATGATAACTAGAGATGAGCGAATCGAACATGACGAAGTGGAATTCGTTCCGAAGATTTGCACGAATCGAATTTTCCCAAAAATGGCGGCGACATGTGTGGCGACGGAGAAAATGGACAGAGAAGATGGGGCGGGGATCTCTGGGAAGGCGCGCAGACAAGGCGCGCTGACCCATAATGCATTCATGACATGTGATCGCATTAGCCAATCAGCAGCCAGCCAGCACTGTGTAATGGTGGAGCTATAAATCGCGGCCATCTTAGAATTCTCCATTAGCCTCCGGTCATTCAAGAGAGACAGACCTGTGTGTATTAAGGGACAGAGTTAGGGCCACAGAGACTTTAGGGCCACAGAATCGTTACTCAGGGACACAGAATCGTTACTCAGGGACACAGAATCGTTACTCAGGGACACAGTGTTCAGTGTTGTGCGCATTAAAGCCAGACACCAAAGGGCAGCACAGACCTGTTATTACTCGCTCAAGCATGGCTGAACAAAACCAGTCTCTACCACAAATTGGACCCAGACCTGCCCAGGGTCTCGTAACTAGATTGCACGGAGGAGTAGAGTCCGTTATCGGAATTAAATAGACAAAACGCCACACACAAAAAGAGTGGCCATTTCCAACACTTATTCCAGAAAGAGGAACAAACCCCGTTTCATATACGGCCCGTAGACGTTTCACGTCTGCCACATTCAGTCGATTTAAGACGCAAGCTCCACTTCCTGTGGTCTCTGACCCGTCGATATACCTTTAAGTGTCAGCTTTGAAGCTATATTCCCTCCGGAGCACTGACACTGGTGCCCTTCCCGTCAACATGCCTTTAAGTTTCAGTTTTCAACCATATTCCCCACAGAAGCCAAACTCTTGGGTATCCCAGAAGCTGCTCAGCGGGTCAGGGCAATAAAGCTCCCGGTTCGCAGGTTGTTCCGTCTTATGGATGGAAGTACGACGGTATATGATCTTCTTCGCACCCACGGCATTACCTCATAAAATTTCTGCATTGCATCTGCAATCACAACGCTTACTTCCCGGATCGCCACTCAGCCATTGGACTCTTGATAGTCGTCTCCCCCACACTGCTGCTGGGGGGACTTTTTTAACCTAGGCCTGTGTATGGCCTTCAATTGAAGCTGCTTCCGCTCCGCCACTCTGCCATTGGACTCTTGATAGTCGTCTCCCCACGCTGCTGCTGGGGGACTTTTTAACATAGGCCTCTGTATGGCCTTTTAATTGAAGCTGCTTACGCTCCGCCACTCTGCCATGGGCCTCTTGGGTATCACCAGAAGCTGCTCAGGTGGGTCAGGGCAATAAAGCTCCCCGGTTTGCAGGTTGTTCCGTCTTATGGATGGAAGTACGATGGTATATGATCTTCCATTCGCACCCATGGCATCACCTCATAGAATCTCTGCATTGCATCTGCAATCACAACGCTGACTTCCCGGATCGCCACTCAGCCATTGGACTCTTGATAGTCGTCTCCCCACACTGCTGCTGGGGGGACTTTTTAACCTAGCCTGTGTAATGGCCTTCAATTGAAGCTGCTTTCCGCTCCGCCACTCTGCCATTGGACTCTTGATAGTCGTCTCCCCACGCTGCTGCTGCTGGGGGACTTTTTAACATAGGCCTCTGTATGGCCTTTTAATTGAAGCTGCTTACGCTCCGCCACTCTGCCATGGGCCTCTTGGGTATGATCAGAAGCTGCTCAGCTGGTCAGGGCAATAAAGCTCCCGGTTCGCAGGTTGTTCCGTCTTATGGATGGAAGTAGTAGACGGTATATGATCTTCTTCTTCGCACCCACGGCATCACCTCATAGAATCTCTCTGCATTGCATCTGCAATCACAACGCTGACTTCCCGGATCGCCACTCAGCCATTGGACTCTTGATAGTCGTCTCCCCCACACTGCTGCTGCTGGGGGGACTTTTTTACCTAGGCCTGTGTATGGCCTTCAATTGAAGCTGCTTCCGCTCCGCCACTCTGCCATTGGGACTCTTGATAGTCGTCTCCCCACGCTGCTGCTGGGGGGACTTTTTAACCTAGGCCTGTGTATGGCCTTCAATTGAAGCTGCTTCTGCTCCGCCACTCTGCCATTGGACTCTTGATAGTCGTCTCCCCACACTGCTGCTGGGGGGACTTTTTAACATAGGCCTCTGTATGGCCTTCAATTTAAGCTGCTTACGCTTCGCCACTCTGCCATGGGCCCCTGTACCGCCTCCTCTTGCTGCTGCCAGGTCCAGAGTGTGTCATGGGTCCCTGTACGGCCTCCCATTGCTGCTGACTTCATCGCCAGACTCTGCCCATGTGCCACTTTCAGGTCTCCTTACACTGTTGGTGGGTTCCATTTTGTGATAGGGTGCTGTATGGCCTTCCATTGCTCTGCCTCCACCGCCACCCCCAGCGCCATGTGCCTCTGTCGTCTGCTCACGCTGCTGACGGCTTCCGCTTTTTAAACCGAGGCCTGTGTTTGGCTTCCGAATACTGCTGCATCCACCGTCACCCTGCGCCATGTGTCTCTGTCGTCTGCTCACACGCTGCTGACAGCTTCCGCTTTTTAACCTAGGCCTGTGTATGGCTTCAGAATAATGCTGCCTACACCGCCACCCACCCTGCGCCATGTGCCTCTGTCGTCTGCTCACACCGCTGCTGCCAGGTCCATACTGATTCATGGCCACCCTGTACCGGCTCCTCATGAACGTGGTTCAATGTGCGGGTTTGCATCACTTAACGGCAAATCGTTGACAAACGCTGGGACGTTCAGTGTTGTGCGCATTAAGCCAGACACCAAAGGGCAGCACAGACCTGTTATTACTCGCTCAAGCATGGCTGAACAAAACCAGTCTCTACCACAAATTGGACCCAGACCTGCCCAGGGTCTCGTAGTAGGATTGCACGGAGGAGTAGAGTTCGTTATCATGGAATTAAATCTGTGAGGAACTTTTAAACCTAGGCCTCCGCTGTATGGGAGCCTTACAATTGAAGACTGCTTCTGCTCCGCCCACTCTGCCATTGGACTCTTGATAGTCAGTCTCCCACGCTGCTGCTAGGGTGGGACATTATTTAACATAGGCCTCTCTGTATGGCCCTTCCAATTTTTAGCTGCTTACCCCTGCTCCGTCCACTCTCGCCAAGGTTCCCATTGAACGCCCCCCTTCTTAATTGTGTGCTTGTCCAAGCCCCTACTCTGCCATGGGCACCCCCGAACACGACAACCTCATGAAGCTGGCTGCCAAGCCCGTTATCCTTGTCATGGGCCACCCTTCGTACGCGTCTCCTCATGCCTGCTCAGGTCCCAGAGGTGTT